CACACACACACACACACACACACACACACACACACACACACACACACTATATATATATATATATATATATATATATATATATATATATATATATATATATATATATATATATATATATATATATATATATATAACTTCCTGTTAAATGCTCTCCCGCGGTGCTCTATGATAAGACCGTAAGGACTTCTGGGAGCACCTAAATACATACCAAAAATATATATATATATATATATATATATATATATATATATATATATATATATATATATATATATATATATATATAATATATATCTTGAGCAACGTAATAGGAATAAATGTGAACATACTTTATAGAAAAACACGATAATTTTTAATCTCGAGATGTTTTGTTGTAAACAAACTACATTTTCAAAAGATAAAGTTACAATTTAAAACTATATATATATATAGATATAAATATGAAATCAAATGTTGAAGACATTACAGAGAAATATTAACAGACAAATAGAATTGTTACAAACCAATAAAAATTATAATACAAATTTTAATATCGTAAAAAGCATAAGTAAATAAAACAAACTATATTGACAAATTTACATTATAATGAAAAGTTTGTTTATTTAAAGACGGGTTTTCCCATTTAATATGGAGTGCTTCTTCAATTTTAAATTTGTTTTTGTTAGGAGCAGTATCCAAAATTTTAAAACAATTACAGTTACTTAGACTTTTATTATTAAAAGATGAAATTAAAGTTTTTAAACATTAAATTGTTTGTCACTTGTAAGATGCTTATTGATCCTTGTTTTTAAGTGTTTGGAGGTTTCTCCAATATAACTAGCATAACATCCAGCGCAAGAGAATTTGAAAATAACATTTGATTTGAGCAGCTTAGGAAGTGGATCTATTTATGTATCTTTTATACATAAAAATTCATGTATCTTTTATACATAAACTGTTTTTTAATTTGTTGGTAGTAAAAATTAAATTAATTTTGACATCTTTACAATATATTTTAATGATTTTATTAACTTTAGATTTAGTAAAATTTGAATAAAATCCTATAAATGGAAGTTTATGATATCTTATATTAGGGTTATCGATACTGTTTATAACAGATGGATTTATCTTTTTTTCAAAAAACTATTTTTATAATTAAAATTTTATATAAAAGTTGTTTAGTCATATCCTATCAAAAAGGTTAAGTGTATCGTGATCTTAGCACATCAGTTTCGTACACAAGTCTCGCTCATCAGTTACATCAGTTTCGTACATCAGCTACTAAGTCAAAAAGAATAAGTTTTTTATCATCATTTTGAGTATTTTTTGAAAAAAAAAGTTTGTTTTAATGAAAACTGCGTGTTAAGTATTATATTTCTAAATTGTTTGTTTTTCTAAATACCTTTTATTGTTTCATACTTATTTTGCAAACCCACAAGAAATGCATAGTATAATTTAATCATTATAAAAATAGATAAGTAATTAGTATTTTTACATAATATAAAAACACACCGAAAGCAACCAAAAATAGTTCAGCCAAATGTCAAAAAAATGTTGAAAAATATTTGTTCAAAATTCAAAGACTAAAACATCCGGCAAAAAAACACTTAATCAGCTATAGACACTTAAAAATACATTAGGAAATGTTAAAAAAAAATTAAGTAAGTAGTTAGAACTGTTTACTTATTTGTTTTTTTATGTGTTTGATAATATAACTATTATTAGGGTGGGTCATATTTTTAATTTTTCTGATTTTTGGTTCGTTACTAATGGGAAAAGTTAATACACCATGTAATACAACTATCTGAAAAATATTACCCTTTCTGAACTAAGTTTAAAGAGGGCAACTGTTGTTTATATTATATGGGTACAGAATCCGCTGTTATTCGCCTACATATCACCTGAAAGTAAAAATACCATGTAAAGAATAAAAGCTACATTTGTATACTAAAAAAAAATGTGAAAATGCAAAATTCTTATATAAAGTCCTTTTTACTGTCGAATATTGGGATATTTAAGTTTCGAATTTGAAGCGGAAACAAGTATTGCATGACGTTTTTCAAAAGCAACAATCTTGGAAACTCTAGATAATTCTTTGACCAGACGTTCAACATTTTGAGAATGGCATGGAATATCAGAAACTTAAAGAGTGTCATTTGTAACATTAATTAAAACGTCTTTATTGTTCACTTTAGATAAAATTGGAGGAGGAGAGATATCAACATTTGAATAGTTGATCATTTCTAAATATGAGGAAGCATGGAAATTAAGAGAATTCTTTTGCAGCGAGTAAACACGTACCCCATCAGTATTCTTTTCTACATGCAATAATTTTCTTTGCTGCATCGACCGCTTTTTTCTTGTTTTTTCTTTGAAGGCTGCCACAAAACACTTTCAGGATGAGCAAAATAACAGTTTCTTTGCAATACTTTTTGGGAGATTCCTATTGTGTTAGGATGCTTACGACTACAAATATATTTCATAATCATGAAAAAAAACCGTGCTGCTTCAACGTATTTCCAATTTTTCTTGATCAAAGACCAACAGAAACGCTAAACTTTGATAAAGTAATCAACAGTTTTCATTAGACTTGTCGTGGGTTTTACGGTCAACATGTATAACCAAAGCAGGTGATTGGCAAATATGAGCTACCTGACATCATTGAGATTAGCGGAATGAGTATTTGTAAAATACTTCTTTTTTTCTAGATACAAGTTTTGGAATCCCGGATTACAGCATTGCATGTTTTAAGTAAGTATTTGTGATCTTTAATGAAATTATAAATGACGTCTTCAGACATTTCAATGAATACTCCATTTACACTGGCATAGTCAACTATCGGTAGAAAATGAACATCAAAAGGTAGTTATTTTCCAACAATGCCTTTGAATACAGTAAGACCGGATGTACTGCCATCAAGTGCATTGAAAGTTGCTCTGAGAGACAGCTCATTCAAATAAAGCAAAAAAAAAAAAACACTATTGAAGAGGTTCGCCAATATGAGTTTCAAGTAAACAAATAATACCATTTTTCCGGCCCGTGTTTATACTTGTTTTTCCGGCCCGTGTTTATACTTATTCCATCACAAACAACACTTTGCAAAGTCACAAGAAAATTTCAGTCATTTAAAACTGAAATGATTGTACTTAATACTCTGGTGAATGGGATGATATATCTCTCAAGCAAGCCTTAACTATTAAGCCTGCATCTCGGTTGCTAACTCCTGTTCGTTCCATTTTTTGACAGAGGTATTTGTACTGAAATACATTGCAATATTAGGGATTATATACGCTATGTGAGCTGTCTTCTGAATTAGCAGCTTCGTCATATTCCTTATCATAATTCACAACAAAATTACAACTTTCTTTATCGCTCTCGCTAGAAAGAGTATTTGTCGATGATGAAACTTGGCATGTTTTTGTATTCTTTATTCCAAACTGAACGTCACGTTCTTAGCATGTTTTTGCATCCTTTTTTACAAATTGAATTTCACGTTCTTTACAAATTTTCTTCTTGGTCAATCTGGTTAATATAAATTTTACGATTATTTTTTTGATCGAACCAAGACTCCGATTCCTTAAAATGAACTTTGATGGAACAATGGCAGTTTGACCGGTCCCTGATACCATGATTAATACAATTTCAAGAAAAAATGTCAAATACTTTATGGAACGAACCAAGTAGGCACTGAAACGTAGATGAATTTCTTATTTCATCAACACATTTTCTCAGTTGTATTTATCAGTAACCAATTAATCTAAGTCTTTTAGAATGCTGTTAAATAAAATCATAGGCAACCCCGCCTTCGACCACATGTTTACCAAATCATCAGCTACTATCTTATTAACGCCTCTGAATAATGGTTCATCAAAGTCTAAAGATTTTGAAAAAGTCTTTGCGTGCCTAATGTATAGATAGACTTTTTTGTTTTTGCGTGCCTAATGTATAGATTGCTTTTGTCGGCAATAGAATTTCCGGAAGTTTACAAGGCTGGCCAAATACTGAGTGTTCTGTGTCACTTCTAGTTTTGATAAACTTTTTCTTCAAGTTCGATATGCAATGTAAAATGAATAAGAATAAAAAATCAGTCGAAATCCACATTTACGAAAAATGAATTAAAAAAATCGCTCTGTTGGCACTCGATATTTACGATCACAAGAGATCGTAATATCAAGTGCCATCAATACACAAACAATTCTACAATGCGTTAAACTTTAACATTAACAATCAAAACGCATTTAAAGCATGCATATTTCAATATTAATTTTGCAATATGCATTTAGAACACTCTATAATACAACATTTGTAATATTGTGAGTATTGCATAATCGCGATTTTATATTGAAAAAGAAATATCTATCAGTTATTGATTCACGTTCATTACATAATTGCTAATTCATAAATATATATATATATATATATATATATATACATATATATATATATATATATATATATATATATATATATATATATATATATATATATATATATATATGCAAATCAAAACTCCCATGACAGTTCTTTAATTAAAACACCGAGGCAGCAAGGATATAATGATGCCTTACTGGTATTGTGTAGGCTGCCGCGCTGGACTAGCTACGGCTGCCGACGTGGGCAAAGCTCCGTTTTGCTCTGAAGATTTTTAATGGACCAGCCGTGACTAGCCAGTGATGGGAAAACAGCAGCTAGCCAGTGCAGGACAAGAACTGGCAAAACAACGATTCGATATTATTACACCGTACCATCGTGATTTTGTCTTTTTTAGCTAACTGGGTTGCACTTGTGATTGCTATGAATTTTCATTGGGTATTCCTATTTGAAGCCCCTATATTTTTCTCCTAATTATTCTTTTTTCTTATTTATTCTAAGCCTTCTTAATTATTTAAAGTTGTTTTTAGCAGAAACGACGCTAATTTTTTGTTTTAAAATTGGCGTAATTTTCATTAGTTTAAGGACAATAAAAAAGTTAGACACATAATTATAGACATTAATTTTTTAGAAAAAATTTAAAAACAGACTTTAATTTCGAAATATATTTACGCAACAATAGACAATTATTATATAACGATTTGATTCATAACCATTCAACAATGGTGCTTTTCTGCAATTCATATCCCATCGTCAATATGATTCGTTATAAATTTCTGCTTCAATTTGTAATGTAATTTTCTTTTTTAGTGCTTGCATCCATTTTAACTTTAATAAAATAAAAATAAACATAAGCACAACTTAATAATTTATTACATATATACTTATACAACATAGTAACAACATATATACAAAGTATTCAATACATATAAACAGCACAGTTATCATGTACAATAATTTTTTTTTTTTTTAATTGACAAAAAAACTGAATCCATTAACGTCAAAACATGCCTAGACTAAGAGTTAAAGAATCTTTTATATAACTTCGTGAACTAAAATGTAATCAATATCGCATTGAAATTTACAAGAACAACCAAGCGCAGAATACTTACAAATATATTTATCAAAATAAGCGGTACTTGGATTATTATAGACCAAAACTCCATTCCCAGTATTATGTCTTGAGATTTACTATTAAAAAAAATTAAAAAAAAAAAAACTATAACCTGATGTATTAATTAGTGTGCAGTTTTATTTTTGTGCCAATATTTATTTGACATTTGCTTTGAAACAGTGACAACATATTTAAAAAAAAAAATGACTCACCTTAATGTTTATTGCACTCCAATTGTTGAGCTTGTGATTTTTTCAGAGAGTTTTTTATATGAGCTTGTGATTTTTCAGAGAGTTTTTTATATCAAATAAATGTGCGTGAAATATTAAATGCTATATTACGTGCAAATAATGAAATAATAAAAAAATAAAAATAAAATAATAAGCAAATATATAGCAAATAATAAGCAAAATAATAAAAAAATAGAGTTTTTAATAAAATTTTTAGTGACGGCAATATATTCAATACTGTCGCATGATATATCTGATATTTGACACGAAAATAGTTTTATTTTTTTAAATAACAAACCGTAAACAGTTTCTTATAAATGTATTGGTTAAACGATTTTCCCGATCAGATTTCAAATAAGTAGTGAACTTATTTATATGGGTCTTACAACTGTAAACTATTCTGTGAAGCTTATTAAAATAAAGTTGGTAATTTTACATATAAACCTCTTATTGATATGCTTAATTATATGAAAAAGTCTTTTTCTTTTTTCATATAATCAAGCAATAAATACAAATTTAAGTTTATTATAAACTGTTTCTTTTGCAGCGAAAAAAAATGTCAGAAGATTCTGTCAACCAAACGGAAATAACTAGAACTAGAACAAAACAAAAGCATCTGGATGAATACTACGATGAACACCTGGACGAAATTTTACCTGAGAATCATCATCGTGGTGACATTGTATCATCAAATCGAATGCTAGCATACTCTGATGCTGTTATGGCAACATGCGCAACATTTTTAGTCATTCCTTTGAGAAATTTAAAACACAAAGGCAAAGACCAAACATTATCGGACTTTATTTTTTCAATTAACAAAGAGTTTATCATGTTTTTTTTTGGATTTTTAATTGTTTTAACAATATGGGAGAATATGAACATTCGAGCAATTGTTATCAAACGTGTAGACGATTTTATTTTGACCTTAGTTATTTTTGAAATGTTGGGAACCACAATTCTTCCGTTTTCGTTGGCACTACAAGGACATTATCCTGAAGAGAAAGCCTCAATCATAATAACATGCTCTGTTTTAGGAGGTCTTCAAATCATAGATATCGGATTGGTGTTATATGCCATCCATTCTCCGAAAATGTTGCATGTTGATTTAAAAAGTTGGTCAAAATCAGATCTTAGAGAACTAATCATGATAATGATTTTTAGACCATTGATTAGCATTGTTTTACTAATTATCGCAGGAGCGCTTTGTTTGGTTCATTATGGAGCATCTTGGGCATGTATTGGTTTATTGACCCTAATGCCTACTATACGTAAGTTTTACTGGTATTTACGTAGAAAAATGAATAAGTTTGAAAAGACCAAAAAAGATGCTTTTATGTTACATTTTTCAAAAGGAAGCGTATCAAAGGAACGCGTTGAAATTATGAGTGACGCCGCCGTTGCTATTGTGGCGTGCATTGTTATTCTTGATATTACTGTGGAAGAGTTTCCAAAGAAAAAAGACGTTAATGTAAAAGGGCTTAACTATATATTAGACCACATGAAATCAGAATTTTTTACGTTTCTTGGTACGTTTTGTTTGGTTTCTGCTCTTTGGTACATTAACCACACAGTCATTCATTTATTCAAAACTGTCAATTCAATAATGTTGTACTTTCAAAAAACATTCCTCGCGTTCTGTTGTCTTTGCCCTCTTGCAGGAAACATGCTTTTAAAGTATGCAAAATTAGGAAATCATAATTCTGTTATTGCTATAAGGTTTTCTGCACTAATTGTATTTTTTTCAAGTTTAGCAAACTTTTTTATGTTGTTGTATGGCTTGTTATCTAAAACTAAATACTTGCATGATTGGGCTTCATGGGTCTACTTTACAACTAATAAACGTCAACACTTCTACACTTTGGTTAAAGTGGTAAATATACCATTTTGGTCGTTTATTTGCACTCTAGGTACATTTGGATCTCCTTCTGCAGCCCCATACGTGTTATACGTAACAGTTTGTGCAGTACCTTGTTCATTTTTTGTTTCAAAACTTATTCTTATGAATCACGTGGGTAAAACTGCAAACTATTTGAAAAATACAATAATACGTAAGTTAACATCCAAAAAAGTGAAATCCAAAAAACCAAACGCGAATGAAAGTGTTTCTCTGAATCAAACGAGTTCTTTGCAAAGTCATACCCTTAAAATTGAGGGCAATTAATTGAAAAAAACATGCAATTATCAATTATAATATACTTTTTTAAAAATAATTTTTATATTATTTGTATAAATGTATTTGACTCAAGTTTCGAATTTTTATTCAATATAATCTCCTTTTAGATTTTTTCATTTTTATTTCCTTCTTTTTTTATATGTAGCTTTTTCAACACCTGAAAGTTTGACCTTGAAGAAGATATTCAGCTAAGTTTAAATTACTTGTGTACGTACTTTATATTTTATCTGAGTTCTTTAAAACGCATACCAAGTTTCATAACATATTTTGTAATCTGCCCAGTTTCAAATCTTTATGAGTTCACTTTTTATCTAAACATCGTGCTATTTCTTTTAAAAACATTTTTAATTTTTATTTTTATCATTGCCATGAGTTATTTAATCATGGTTAAACAGTTTCATAGCCATGAGTTATTTAACCATGGTTAAAGACTTTTAATCATGGTTAAACACTTTTAAAGTTATTTAAATTTGTTATAAGATTATGATCCACATTTTGAACATTATAAAATTTAAAACGTGCAAGCGTTTCCATTCAATTTTTTGCGTTATAAAAAAATATTTTTTCTTTTTTTGTAGCTAGAAATACTTAGGCGTACTTCTAGACGGAACAGTAACTTAAAATGTCGCAATAGGTTTCTTAAAGTATTGAAAAAGGTACCTACTTAATAGAACGGAACCATTTTAAACCAATATCTCAATATTTCAAGTAAAAATTGGCAGAAAAACAAAACAACAACAACCTAATCCACCACACAGTTCAAATTTTTTTAAATAACTTACACTCTACTGTATCTTTAAGTTTTAATTAATTATATTTATATTATTATTCATTATTATTTTTCTTATTAAATTTCTAATAATTTTCAGGTAAAATAATCTTACACAAACTTTAAAACAAAAAACAAATTTTATGATTAACTCGAGGAGGTATAATAGCTAGACTATTATAATTCCTAGATTAACTTTATTTACGGGGCCGATCGTTGAAATCTCTATTATCGTTGAAATCTTTATAGGCAATATTATAATACAAATATTTGTTTTGCCAACAGAGTTTTAATTTAAAAAATTTAAAAGAGGTTATTAAATTTGTTTTTTTAATTAGGTAAGTAAGAGCCTTGATTTAGGTGGCGGCCCTATGCTATAGCAAGCCTTACAATCCCTCAATCCAAACCTGTTTAAAATTGAAGACAAATTATTTTTTAACAAACATTTACCTAACTTTTTCTTTACTATAAGACTAAATACAAATTATTTATGTTTAGCATTTATGAATATGGTTATATGCGAATATTTATGGGGCCGTGGCGCTGTGGTTACAGCGCTTGCTTTATAAGCAGGAGATCTAGGTTCGAAACGAGCTCTGGATAAACTTTTACATCACGGTATGGAAGGAGGCGTGAACTTCCTGGTTAAATGGACTTCCGCGGTGCTCTGTGACCAGACCGTTAGGTCTACTTAGGGCACCTTAATAACAAAAAAAAAATAATAAAAAAAAAACAAGCTACCGTGGCGTAGTAGTTAAAGTTCTGGTTAAATGCTCCTTCGCGATGCTCTGTGGTAAAAAATTTAAAAAAACAACAAACGTTGTCATTATCTTTAAATACAAATTGTTAAATATTTATCAAATATGATTGTATATTTGTATGAAGATAATAAAAATTTTTTTAATTTTAAATCAGTAGACATTTTCGTATTTGACAAGTTCAAAAACTGTATGCATTTATATTGACTTGTGTATTTTGCTTTTTGTAATACAAAAAAGTTCTGTTCATATTCTTAAAACCTTCTATTTGTTCTCACAAGCAACTTTATTGAACAAATTTTTAAATAAGTTTTTCAAAAGTATGTCATGTTGGGTCTCAAAAGAAGCGAAATTATATAAACATTTTTAAAATAACAATCATTTTATAAAAAAACAACAGCAACAAAAAATAATCTATATAATATTGCCGAACTTAATAGTAGTAGTGTCCCTTGGAGCGTATTTGACACGAAACCCTTGGCAGCCATTGCAACCGAGGTATTGGCAAGAAAGAGTCGCAGCACTATAAGAAAACGTGAACAAATATCTAAAGAACGTAAACTTTAAACTAAGTAATGTTAAAGCATATGTTAAAACATACTGAAACATTTATCACGTTTTACAGTTTGATTTTTACTTGAAAATTACATTGCGTCAACCTCTCCTTAATTTTGATCTAACATTTTTTTCCTCAAAAAAAGTTACTACATTATTATAAAATCTACGATTGATAATATGTCGGTGTAGCTCAAGTGGATGAGGCGGCGAACTTCTGAACAAGGAACTAGAGGTTCGACTCCTACCAAAGGTGTCTATTTTTTTTAATTTTTTTAATTATTTTAAAATACAAAATACTTTCGAAGTTTTATAAAGATTATATACAAACATATGTAACGTAACGATATTATGCTCTCACAAAAGAAAAGATTTTAAGAATGCTAAAACTTCATAAAACATTAAAAAAAAAAAAAAAAAACACCAGGAGAAAAAATATGTTGCGTATCTATGATAATTGAGACACTTATGTTATTAATGTGCGAATGTAATTAGTCCTAATAAGCTGCGGATGGTCTGAAAAAAAGTTGTCTGAAACTTAATAAAGAAAAAACTTAACAAGACAGCCCTGCTACTTCATAAGATGCTGCTGTGGAGGCAAAAAAAAAAAGCCTGTAGCTAGATAAAACTTTAAAACTTTCTTTTGACAATTAAAAGTTTATTTTGCTACATTAACTTTTTTACTATAAATATATGCAGCAACTGTTTTTCAAAACGCCTTAATATGCTTATGACGTAATTCAAAAAAAAACAATTAAAATAAAATTGTTTGGAAAAACTCTTCGTAAAACGTTTTTTGAAACGAATAATTTTTATTTAGTTTTTTTTTCTTTTGTGCAACTTTCTTTTCAATAAATTTCTTTACCTTTCAGAATATGACCATTTTTAACAATGCTATAGAAAAAATATCAGTAAATTGATTAGTAGTATTTCAATTATATTAATTAGATTAAATTATATATATTAAATTATATATTATATATATTAAATTAAATAGATAAAGAAATTGATATTCAGTTAATACATGGGTATTTTTTTTTTTTTTTATACTTAGTGACAAAATAGACTAATTAGATAAGTCGTTAAGTAGAATGCTAAGAATATATTTATGGCGGTTATTGTTGTTAAGGGTGATTAATAGGCAAATAAATTAAAAGCTAATCAGGGCTTTGAATAAATTATAAACTAATCAGGGAAGTTTTATAGGTAAACCTAATAAATAGGAAGATAACATATAATTCAGGTAGACATTGTTTTCACTTTTTCGCCAAACTTTGATATCTTTGATATTAAAAAATATGACCTTTCCAATAATTATAGATGGTAGTGTATTAACCTTTTTTTTCGGAACCACAATCCGTTATGATTTGTATTTTGTATTTGTATTTGTATTTAAAAACAAGTTTAAATGCATATAGATGTTATACGCATTACATAAAAATAAAGATATAATATACTATAAGAAACCAAACGGAGAGAATTTTTTAAAACGTTTTTTAAAATTTTTAAAAACATAAAAACGCTGTTGGAAATTTGTTGCGCATATATCATGATAGAGATACTTATGTTTTAGGTAATTAGTTAAAACTGCGAGTTCAACACACATTAAAGAGATAAATTTCTTTCTTATATATATAAAAAAAAGGTTTTACATGCAATCTGAAATTTTTATTAAAACTAACTGGTCAAGAGTCCTAAAAAGTACGGAAAGGTATGAAAAAAAAATTGTAATCTGAAACCTAAAAAAAAAAATTTAGTTACTCCAGAAGGTGACAAACAGAAAACCTACAAAATTTCGCCTAATCCGCTAATAGAAATGCTCGAATATTAAAATATAAACAAATATTAAATGATTTTTGTATTACGAAACGTACGCCAACTCTTAAACCACTGTAAAACTACCTTGCGGTTATCTAATTAAATCCACCAAATCCGTTAATAAAAACAGCTTAATTAATAGATTCAAAACCATCTGATTTTTGTATTATGATTTGTGCGCCAACTGTACTCTAAAACCAATAAAACTCGGCCATGTGGTCTTCATATCGATTATAACAATTGCAAAGCGAGGGACGACAAGTAAGTTGTATCTACAAGTTTAACTATTGTAATCTTCATTTAAAAAATTAAACTTATTTTATAATTACCATGTTAATATGTTTGAAGTTAATATGTTTTTGACCCAAGAATCAACATTAAGATTATTTTTTAGAAATGAGCAGCCAAGATACAGAAGGTATTCTTTTTATTTTGTATAACATTAATTAATTAAAGAGATAAAAAGAGATGCTACGTCAATAATACTGAAATATTTAGCTTATTATTTTATTAAGAAATTATATTGAGATAATTTTGTATATCTTTAGGGCGACGAAGAAGTTTCTGCATTTTTTCGAAGAAAACCATTTATATATATTATATATAGTAGCAGTTACATATGTTCTAAAAGTGGCGGAGCTGTACTTGATTCACGTGTGAATAAAACGATGATTTATTTTAGCCGTTTTTAATTGAAATCAGCCAAGATATGCCGCCCTCCCCTAACCCCGTGAATCAAGTACACCGCCCTAAAATTTAACTAAAATTAAAAAATGTAAAAATTAATTCTTAAAACTTTAAAAGGGTGGACCCGAAACTCAGTTTTTGTTTATTCCGCTATTTTGCTTGATGTTTTTGTAAAGCAGTGAACCTTAAAAACGCGTATAAGCATTATTTAAGGTGTTTAAGCTAGAATTTTATAAAACGTGTTTAAGCTAAAACAGACTTTTAAGTCTTTTAACTACTAAACTTTCACGTAAAATGAAACTTTTTGTCATTTACTGATTAATTCATAAATGCTAAATTATAAAACTGTGCAACAGTTTTATAATTTAAGACAAATCTTAAATGTTTAATTGAAAAAGTGAGTATTTTGAAAATTAATTTTGTCTATATATATATTAGATGTTCAAGAAATCAGAGCCGAAGAGCTCTTGCCAAGTAAGCTAACTTTGTATGAGAAGGATATGTTACAAAGATGTATATTTCACCACTTTCAGCACTTTGTTAATTATAACTTTTTTTTAATGTTTAGCGGAAGTAATGGACAAGCTAAGTCAGGAATTTTTTTTGTTGTTGTTGTTTTTTTTTTTTTTTTTGTATGTGCAAATACAGTTATGCTTTTTTAGTTTTTTTAAAGTTATTTAGCAACTGACTTTTGTCAGTTGTGACAGTTTGTCAGTCAGCAAGTGACTTTTGTAACTTTTAAATTTATTTTAATTAGAAAAATTAGAAGATTCAGTTGAGAATCTAAGTAAGCAATTTGTTATTGTTGTTGTCATGCTCTTTATTTTTTTTATTACATATTTATTTAACGTAAATTTATTCTATATATGGCAAGTTAGTTTATTTTAATGTTTATAAGTTTTTCATTTTATTTAGAAAAAGTAGAACATTCAATGGGTACACAGAATTTGATTATATTTCATTTGTGTATTATAGATAAAGATATAGCATTTTACTTTCAAAAAAAAAGGTCTACTCTTTGGTCTTTTAGCTTTTTTGATACAATTTTTAGCATTTTTTTTTATAGGGCTTATATTTCAACAACTAAGTAAGTTACTATAATGTTCTTCTTTATTTTTATTTTTTATTTTTTTTTTGTCACTTTTTTCTTTTTTTTTTTTTTTTATGGTTTGTTTTGTTTTGTGATTGTTATTTTTGGCTTTTGTTTTGTTTCAACTTTATTTATAGATTTCCTAAAGTTGACAAATATTCTGCATGTTAGTTTTTTTCTTAATGTTAATGAGTTTTTTTTTTGTATTCTATTTAGAAAAGTTAGAAAATTCAATTGGTAAGCAAAGTTCACTTATGTTTCATTTTGTTTAATTTTAACACACATTTATTGATGTTTGTGTGTGGTTTTATCACTTAAAATAAACTGTTTAATTGATTAGTATATGTTAGTTTATGTAAATATATTTTTTACCTCCACTATAGCGTCATCTACAGTACCATCAGGTAATGTGTTTTGCATTCTTATGCAGTTTTAAGAATGTTATGTGTGTTAAAAATTAAAGATAGCATATCTTATTTTACAGAATACTTTATTTATTTATTTTTTTGTCTCTACAATAACACCTCAAGCAATAATATCAGGTAATCTGTTTATGAGTGTTACAAGTATTGAAACTTAAACATTACTTTTTTCATGTTTGTTATCAATTACATAAATGTTTAACATATGTTACTTTATACACTTTTTTTTTTTTTACTTTCACAATAGCATCAATATCATCTGCAGTGCCATCAGGTAATTTGTTTTGCATTCTTATGCAGTTTTATGAGTGTTATGTGTATTAAAACTTAAACTAAACATTACTTTTTTCATGTTTGTATGCAATTACATAACTGTTTAATATGTGTTTGTTTATATACTTTTTTATTTATTTCAGCAATAGAAACAGTATTAACTGCAGTACCACCAGGTGATGTGTTTTCGATACTTATGCAGTTTTTCCATACTTATGCAGTGTTATGTGAATTGAAACCTAAACATTACTTTTTTCATGTTTGTATACAATTACATAACTGTTTAATATATGTGTTAGTTCATATTTTTTATTTATTTCTATAATAGCAACAATATCTGCAGGACCATCAGGTAATCTGTTTTTTATGCTTATGCAGTTTTATGGGTGTTATGTGTATTTGTGTAGGTATATATGAAATTTAAACATTGCGTATCCTTATTTTTACATTACTTTATTTTTATTTTATTTTTTTTGTCATAACTTTTTTTTTTTAAAGTCTAAATAGTTTTAATATTTTTATTGGTTGTTTGTGCAGTATTGTATTCAAATTTATTTCTTTTTTTGTTTTTGTTTTTTAGCATTGCATCAAGATTTCCTGCGATGTCGCTTCCAGCACCCAGGTCCGATATCTCAAAGGGCTTTCTACCGGTGGTGTCAATATGGGGGAGATGATCCCTCCTTTAGATGGAGAAGACAAGCGCCATATGACACCATTGGTAGAAGGAGGGGTGCTGGGAAGCAGTTCAACTCTTTTAATTTCTACCAGTAGCTTTTTTAAGCTACTGGTAGAATTATCTTTATCTTCAAATATAAAGAAAATTGACTTTTTAAAAAAATGTTTTTTTTAATTTTGCAATTTTTTATTATTTTAATTTTTATACTTTCAATATTTTATTTTTTTGATTTTTAATTCTGTTCTTAAATCCTAAACTGACAAAAGAACTCTTATGTTATAAAAATTTTTAATAATTTGTCTATAAGTTTTTTTATTAATTTACGTTTTTACATCTTTTTATCTTTATTTTTAATTTTAATAATAGTAAATTTTCTTTTGTATTAACTTTTATTTGTTAAGTGTTATATAGTTTTTGAAAGATTTGGTAAATATATTCAAAATTTTTCTTTTTCTATGATATCTGTTTAATATGTCTAATATATGCACTATACACCTATTAATCTCTTTACATTATTCTCTTTAGATATATTATAAAATAGTATTTAAAATCAGTTGTCAGCCACATGTGGTCTATATGATGCAACATGTTTGCATTTGTTGGCATGTCATTTAAAAATTTGTAACTAATTTGGCTTTTTAATATTACCATTAATATGACTTTTAAAATAATAAAATTTTTTATTTGTTTCAAAAAATACTGTTTTATTACTTAAAATATAGTATGTTATTACAAGATACTTCTGACTTTTTCTCTGTTTCAAACCAGTTTAGTTATAATTTTTGTTCACAAACTTTATTAGACGCTTTACACATAGTTTCATAGGTTTAAACTGATAAATAGCACTTTATTGTTTTTGTTCATTTTAGATTAGTATAGAAAAAAAATTAATCAGATATGCGTTTGTATATCTTTATTTATATTTATGTGCTTAAGTTTATATAAGTTTATATTAAGTTGTTTCCATGTGAAAAGTGATGTTTCTTGGCAACGGGTAGTGCAAGATTGTGATTCTTGCTAGCCAAACGATGTTACTTATTAGTGGTGTTACTTGGCACTTAATGCCAAGCGGTGTTACTAAATTGTGGTGTTACTTGGCTGCGTTTAGTGCCAAGCGGTGTTACAAGTGTTGAGCTTGGTTGTGTTGTCTAGCTTTTTAAATTATTCTGGAAACACATCTGAATATTTTGTGTTATGTGCAAATGTGTTTATGTGCAAATATTTTATGCTATGTGTATTCAGTAGCATAGGCAGGGTCTTTTGATGCTTCAGATAGCACTTTCAACCAAACTTAAGTGTATTCACGTTTATAGAATTAAAATACTTTGCAAAAAATTGATGTTGTTAAAGCTTAGGAACAAATGTTTAAAAAAAGTGTTTTTCCTAACCTGAATTTTTTTAGACATAACAAAGTTAAACTCTTCAACAACTTCTAAATATATATCTGAAACAACAAAAATCCTGCCTACACTACTGGTGTTATTGTTTGTCATCCTGTAATGTTGTTGTGATATTTTGTGTTGATAGACAGCTTGGCTTACCTTCATGTTGGTGTCTATCGTTAAAAATGATTATTGGGTAGCTTCATTACTGAAACTTACTCCTAATCATTCACTAAAAGCCAAGAAATTTTTTAAGAAAAAATGCCGAATTTTTTTGTGTCAAAAAGAATTTTTATCTTTAGCAACGCTGATAAAACTGAATTTTTTAAAAAAAAAGAGTATTTCCAGCCTTCTAACCAAATATTAGAGACTTTTACAAAAGCACTCTCACAAAGTAGGTGTTTAATATTTATTTAATATTACTAAATTTCATTTCGTATTTTTCATTTTTCAAATGAATTAACATAAGACAAATAAATGTGCATTCAGTGTTATCAATAATGATTTTATTTCATTTTTAGATAATGCTTTTATAATCAATTTAAAAGTCTTTCAAATCTTTAATCATTTTTTAAAGGCGAAAAAGAAGAATCATCAATCTTCATACCATTTAATAAAGCTATTTTAATAAAACGCAATACAAATTGTTGTAAATTAGTATTTGAATAATTTTCACGTTGTTACCTTATTTTGCAGTTTCCTATCACTTTGTATTGAATTAACTAAATCCAATATTACAGTTCCTTATATCAAGTACTTCACATTTTCTGTTTTTGTTTTATGCAGAAAAACAGATCAAGTTAATTTATTTGACTTGCCTAGCTACTTATTTTACACGCCTAGCCACAGTGAGTGTGCATAAATCAACAGAGGATTTGGGTTTGGGCAGGTTGTCTTGAACTAAATGATTTACCTTCTTCATTTTAAGCTCTAAATATAAATATACGGGAAAGGTGCATATGTGAATATTTTTTTTCCAGCACATAATCTATTGTTCACTAAAAAATATTAGAGGGAGAAATAGAGATAAGGTTAATGTGGAATAGAATTTGTCCTTTTAAGTGAAAAACTATTTTATAATCTATCTATCTTCTATATAATAATGCCGAACTTAATAGTAGTGTTAGTAGAAAGAGTTGCAGCACTTTTTTTATAAAAAAACGTGTATGCAAATATCTAACGCACGTAATTAAGTAATGATAAAACATGCTGAAACATTTTTCAAGTTTTATAGTTTCACTTTGACTTAAAAATTGCATTGCGTCAACCTCTCCTTAATTTTTGATCTACAGCAATTCCGTTAAAAACAATTTTTATATATTTTTTAATTTTCGATATTTGATGTGTCAGCATGGCCGAGTGGTTAGCGAGCTTAGCTTCTGAACGTAATAGTCGTGGTTCAAATTTACCACTAGCGATTTTTTTCTTAGAATCTTTAAATTACAAAATATTTGTGAAGTTAAACAAGTTAAATGTTATACACTTTAACTGTTTTTTCTTTTAAAATTTTATGAATTTTTAGGATTTCTAAAAACACCAATAAACGGGGCGAAAATTTGTTGCGTGTGTGTCATGATTTTGATACTGTTCTCACATAATTGGTCCTAATAAGCTACGGATAGTTTTTAAAAAAAAGGTCCTAAAACCTAATAAGGAAAGAATTTGATAAAACCGTCCTGCTACTCCACATGGTATTGCAGCGGAGGCAGTGAAAAAAAAAGCAATTAAAAGGTTTTTTGTTATATTTAATTTTTTGCTATAAATATAGCCAGATTAAAAAAATTAAAAAAAAAGTATTGATATTTTTTAGGCGCGGATTTGAAACCTTGCACAGCGACTCTGATGACTGCGCACTTAACTTGTGAGCTATGCAAGTTATGCATGTAGTTAGGCGCTTCAACATTTTTTTAAAAATGTAAAATGAAAACAATATAAATACCATAAGTAAGAGCTAAATAATAACGTTTAAAATTACCAAACTTTTTGTTATATTATTATTAGTTTTTCAACTTTTTCAACAAACCACAAAATTTATAATTTATTTTTTTGCCATACTTTTGATGCTTTAAGCGACTAACGTTTTAAAGAATTGCATTACCGTTTCCGTCTAATACAAAGGTAACTATAAAAGACCGTTATTATTCAAAACTAAGCATATAATAATAATAAATATAGTAAATAGTAACTATTGAAAATGGTTAGGACGCAATCATAAACCATGGTCCATGGCTGGTCTAAAAGTAGGAAGTAGTTTAGTTCAGAATTTTTAAAAAAAATAAATAAATAAACGGGGTTTAATAAGCTATATACGTATGCGGAAAAAGTGCGTATGTTAAAGTTTTTTTTTGCTCTCAAAGCAAATTTTTTTATTGAATTTTTTTCCACTGTTTACTAAAAAATATTGTAGTAAATAAGGAACAAGTAAAGAAATGATTGGCGTGAAATAGATAAATATAGAAGTTGAAGGAAAGACCTGTATTTACCGATACGGACAGCTAGATTAAGAAAATAAGGGAAAAGGTTTGTGTGGAATAGACTTACAAAGACCCGTATTTTTACGGGTCAATTCAGCTAGTAATAAATAATATGCTTATTTATTAACACGTAAACTATACTACCTATTAAGCAAATCGTGTACCTACTTATATTTATGTGTATTCTAATAAAATTAGAAAAATTAAAAACTTTTTGTCTACATTCTTTGTTTTTATTTTTTGCATTTTGCATTTTTATTTTTATTCTGCTGAAACTCATAACATTATTTTTTAAATATAAACTTATTTTAAATTGAAGTATTTAAAAACTTTATTAACGCTTAGCGGTTTCTTGATGACAAGACTATCAGTCTTCTGCAAATTTCCCGCGTTTTTTTAAAGTAATTTTTAATACGTTACAGTTTATTTTATTCATTCTACGTTACAGTTTATTTTATTCATTACAGTTCATTTTATTCATTAAAAGTTAAAAAAAAAATAAAAATATTTTTAGTAAACAATTCAGCTTTGTCTTTAGGTGAGGTGAAAAAGTCTGAACCATACAAAAGAGGTGGAATTACAGACTTGCCCTTATTATTGATAATATTCAAGATTCTCCAGAAATCACGAGTGCCTAATTATTGTGATATATTAAGAGATTTTATAACGGGTTTTGGCGTTAGACAAATCCTTTTTACAATGGTTCCTAGCAGTAATAAACAGACGTCTATTTTCTGAAGAATTGTTTTGCTAATAGAAATGGAAGTAATGGTTTCGATTGGCAATTGCAACAGTACAACGTGAGGAAAAACATGGAGAAGAGTGAGACTTGACCTGGAATTGTCAAGAGGGAATTAAGTATTCCATGCTAGCACGAATCCACGAAGTTTTGTAAGAAGCAAATTTGTCAACAGGAAGACGAAAGATATCTACCCAAGGGCTGTCACAAAGAAAATCGTAAGATGTACAATGATTGGGGGGAGTTTGATGATAAAGAAGAATAAGATAATAGTTTTAGAGAAATCAAACTGTGATCAGAGGCACCTAAGGGTGAATGTGGAGAAACTGACCACTGATTAGGATTAGAAACAAGACATAAGTCGAGTAGAGAAGGTAAATGATTCAAGTTGTTCGGAAAGCAATTTGGAAAATTGACTATTTGAGTTAGGGATTGAGATAGACAAAAGTTGTGGGTTTTAATACCTGCAGAGTCACTGACACTAGAGCCAAGCCATTCAGTGTGATGAACATTGAAGTCACCGACAACAACAATGTTGGATGGATAAAGAAGGAAAGGTTGGTCAATGTGATCAGA